TGGTGAGCAGAATAGCAGTTATCAAATTATCAAGCTTTCTGTAGGCATAATATGAAAAGAGTTTTAAGTGTGGGAGTGTTGAAGGAGAATATGAGGCAGAGCTTTCCAGATGTTCATGGGCAGTTCCTTCTAAGTGTGATGGGCATCTAGGGAAACAGATGAAGAAGCCTATCTGACAATTAAGCAAGTGGATTATGAAGACTAGCATCCTGGTTAATTAGAGCTGAGAGCTGACAGACGTCTCAAAGACTAGCATCCGGGTTAATTAGAGCTGAAAGAAAGTCTCAAAGAAATTGTTTTAATAGGAGCAAGTTCAAGTCCTATATTAGTAAACAAACAAAACCAGACGTAGGACCAGCAATATACTGTAAACTCAAAACTCAATTTTAAAACCTAATAAAGTATTAAATGTGTTTCATCTGCTTGACTATTATCCAGCATCTGAATGAGATTGTGTAGCTCAACAGCTTCTGGAGTTCCCATTTTCTGGATTGGAAGGGATAAATGTTTTATTTTTACATGCTGATACACAGTTCCATTCAGTTCTGAAGCAATGAAGTTTGGCGCCTGGGGCAAAGCCCATAGCCGCAGCCCACTCTCGCCCCACACACAGATCTGGGGGCACATGCCCCCCCCGACCCATGCTTGCCCAGGAGTGCACACAGCAGCGGGAGCTGCCCTCCCCCCATCCCTGTGACCCACAAATGAGCCGCTTGTGGCTCTGTCCCATGCCCTGCCCCGGTTGGGTAGCGCCTGTTGGCGCCCCTTTGCTTTAGCACCTGGGGCGGTCACCCCACTTGCTCCCACTTGCTACGGCACTGGTTCCATTACTCTGGAAATCAAAGTAGCCCAAATGAAATTTGGACAGAGGAAATAGCCCAAAGTAGACTAAACACTAACATCTAATGGTAGTTATATTATGCAAGTGATACACAAGAGACTAATAATGTTTGCAGGATGCTTGACACGTTTTTCAGGTTCAGTATGTATGATGTATTATATTTCAAATTCTGTCCAAGATTTCTTTCCTAATCACTTTCCTCCTCCAAATTCCATTTCCTCAGTCAGCTCTGGCTTCTGACTAGCAGCTGCTGGAACGAAGCCCATCACAATCACTATTAAACAAGTAAGAAAGCTACTTGTGTGTTTGAAGATGTGTTTGAAGAAGATTTAGGGTAGGATTTTTAAAGCACCTCAGTTAAATAAATGGGACTTCTTTGACTACATAACCTAGGTGCTTTGAAAAATCTGATCCTTATACAATATTGCCCATTACCTAACAGACACTCATGCCGATCCCTCCTGTTAGTGTAACATCAGCTTAGTAATGTCATTATACTGTAAAACAAATAAGGCACAAATGCTGACCATATCCATATAACATCCAGCAGTATAGATGTGTCTTTAGTGCACAAAGGGAGAAGTTTCTACAGGTACAGACCCTTGGAGAACCAATGAATTGACTGCACGTAAATGTGATAAGGAATTTTGGGGCAGGGGAAACATAGATCTATTGATGACTCCCACTGTGGAAATCTAGTACCTCAGGGCTGCAGCTAGCTACTCAGTGACTCTCCTGTCAATGCCAACATAAAAGCACTATTAAATACATTTTCTCTAATTTTGAATGAGCACATGTATGATGTGTAGGTACTGGTGGACCTTATCTGGTAGGGCTGTGCGAAATGGTACCGTTCTAGCTTTGACTTGCATTCCAACATTTTGACGGAACAGCGTTTCATTTCGAATTTCATTTTGATTCGAAACTGCTGTTCCGTTTCATTTTGTTGAAACAGTGACACTGTTTCAACGCTGTTTCCTTGTTTCGCCCATAGGCTATAATGGGGGAGCTCAAAACAGCCTATAACTTTGTCATTTCTGGCCTGATTTGGATGAAACATACAGAAATGGTAGTCCCTTCTGAACGCATGAAGCCTGCCAAGTTTCAAGGAGACAGGTAAAGGGGTTTGGGGGAAACTATGCCTCAAGCTGCGGACAAGCAAAACTCAGGACATGGGTGACACTGTGTGTTAAGGTGCAGCAGGGTGAAAGCTGCAGGCCTGCTAGCCCCTGCTGAGGCCACAAAGCCTGGCAGCTTTCAAGGAGATAGGTGCAGGGCTTCTGGGTTCTGGGGCCCTGTATCTCTGGCTGCTGACAGGCAAATCTCATGACATGTGTGGGTGACATTGTGTGTGTGTTAAGGTGCACCCTCACTCAACTGACACCAAGGCAGAAAGCAGGGCAGGTCAAACAATGCTGCCTTTTATGCAGTTTTTCCATCCCACCCCCAGAGCACTGGGATTGGAAGAGACCTCAGGGAAGGATGACAGTCACTGGCCAGCTACACAGTCAATAATGAGAGTACTCCTTCCCCCACTACCCCGTCCCTCTCCTTACTTTAGTTTCTGTTTCCCTGCAAGCAAGTCCAGCTTGAGCTTCAAAACTCAAAACGTTTCAAAAATTTTGAAATGTTTCAACTTGCCTAGTTTCATTTGAGGCTGTTTCGAAGCTGTTTCATTTCAATTTTGCTGTTTTGAGCTTGAAATGAGTTGAAACAGCATTGAAACGAAACTGCCGGCAAAAATTAGCACAGCCCTATTATCTGGCTATAGAAAGCAACACTATCTTTAAGTTTCAGAGACTGATTCCAACAAAAAAAACCCCTATTTTCAAACCTGTGGTAATTTTACTAAACCTTTTTTCAGACACATGTTCTAGGCTTAGTCTCTGTTTGAAAAAGACTAGTTCAAGAAGGTTAACAATTTAGTTCATCCAATATTAGATGTGATATAAAAAAGTAGTTCAAGAAAAAATAGATATTTGTTGCTATTTTGTTCTCATGCATGAATTCTGATTAATGCCCAAAATCCCAGAAACAATAAAAATCATCCTTTAAACTTACAGAGGTTAAGAGTGGAGCACATGAAAATTATCTTTTTCATAAAATCTAAGTCTGTGTATAAGTATGTGAGTTTCCAAATAAGTATCAAGAAGTCTATAATGGCAGCTATTCTAATTTAAATCTTGAAACTAAGTAAATAGGAAACAAACCCACAGGTATTATCCACAATTTTCATTCATCTCACATGAAGCTTGTGTGAGAGATTAGAGAAAAGGGCTGGAGATCTTTTAAAGTACACAACAATAAAATGCTTATTCACCCACTATAAAAATCAGAAATATATTTTTTCAAAAGTACATTTCAACACCCTATAAGTTGAATTTTTATATATAAAAGTTCCCAAGAATTTGAACAAACCATAAACTCCCAGATCAACAAGATACCTATCAAGAACTTTGCAAGGTAATGAAGAAAGACACCTAGTAGAAACCAGAACGGCACAGCAATGAGGGCAGGTGAAACTCAATGCCATTAAAGAAACAGGGCTTTTTTTCAATGCACACACATGCACACACATCAAAAGAGCAAAAGAACAAAAAAAAGAAAAAAAAAGAGAGAGATGCTACTAATGATCCAAAACAAATGTTTCCCTAGTGTAGACACTAGGGCTGTGCGAAGCTTCGGTCCCTGATTTGATTCAGCAGAGATTCAGCCCAATTCAGTAGCCAAATCTCTGAATACAAATAGAATTGGAGGACTTTTTAATCTCTCTGAATCAAATCAGAACCCTCCAAATCGATTCAGAGAGATTCAGCAATTTGGACATAGACACAGCTTTAAATGTTTTTTCCACATACCTCTAGGTAGCAGGCGGCTCGTGAATGCTGCAATGCTGGGACACATAAAGTGTCCCACAGAAGTGAGGGGGCTCTCCCGTGTGCTTGACAGCAGACCCGGAATTCGACTAGAAGCACTTCCGGTCCACTTTCCGGTCCACTGGGGAGAGTGCAAGCCCCCCGCATTCCCCTGGCTCTGTTGCTGATCGCCAAGCCAGTAGGGCGTGGGGTGGGGAGTTCCTTGCGTGCTCCCCCGTGGACCCAAAAGTGGATGGGAAGTACTTCTGGTCCACTTCAAGGTTCGCCGCCGAGCATGTGGGGGGCCCCTCACATTCCTGTGGGATGCTCCATCTGCCACAGCATTGCAGCCTTCACGAGCTGCGCTGGTACCTTGAGGTATGTAGAAAAAGCATTTAAAGCTGTCTACATCTGAATCAGCATTGAATCTTCAGATTCGGAATCAACTAATTGAATCACTGTCCCTGATTCAGGCCAAATCTGAATCTGAATTGAATATGGCCTGCTTCACACAGCCCTGGCGGACACACTCTTAAACAAAAAGCTTGAAAGTCAATGAGAATTTTGCTAAGGCACAAAAAAGCTCTTTTTAAAATCCCATCTATTATTCATGCACTTTTTCCCACCCAGTTATCAATGACAGATTGTCTTTTCCCCTACATGCAAACGTATTATCTTTTTGGCAAGGTAGCAACTGTTTACATGGAAAAATAATATTAAAATGAATGCATTTTAATTTATTTTATTTTGCTTCAGAAAACCAAGAGGAGATGACAGCTGGATCTAACTATCCTGCACCAACGTAAGCCAGCATAAAAATATTCTTTGATTTCCTTGGAAACAGATTTGGGCCCAATAAAGAGGGTTCCATTTAGTACATTTGTTAAAACATTGTGTGTGACAGAAAAAAATAATGAAAGGACATAGGAACAAATTATATTGCATTAAAGTGTGGGGGGGAGACATATTCAACATCAACTGATCTGTGATAATGGTTTTGTATCTCTGCTATTCTGCATTAAGTGGAAGCTTAATTAGGATCATCTAGCAGTTATTTCATTCAGGGGTAAAAACTACCCTGGTTGAGCTTCTACTTTCTGAGTTATAGGAGCAGACAAACAGTTACCCTGGCTCAGGTGATGCATGACAAGTCCTTTTCTCAGCACTTTTAAAAGTGGTATAATTTGTTCATGTGTCCACATCCAACATTTTGTTTTTCATTAATTAAATATAGCAAAGCTCTGTGGCTATCTAATCTCCAGGTAAGTGTAAACCACTTTTTTCCCTAGAGAGAAAATGCTTACCTTTTGGTGTGGAAATGTAGACTGAATCATTGTATTTTCAAAACTGTGTGTACCTTTCAGCTGTGTTTTTTCCCACAGGGCTTTAAGAACTTGCACAGGGTTACTCTGTATGGACAAAGGCTCTGGAAACAAGCTCTGTGGAAAAAATTAAATGGGTATTTCAACTATTTGTAATTAAGTGATTTAAATATCCTCTTGCTCATATTTCAACATACTACAGCTAGGCAAAAACTTTTACCCTCTTATTTAACAACACAGAAACACTGACATATTTTAAACAAAAATTATCTTTAGTTAAAACTGATTCATATCTACACAAAGTAGATAAATCAGGGAAACTAAATATATCTTATCTGTTCCATTTGCTGTTATTTATTATACAGTGAAAACATTTCAGAAAAGCAAAAGACTTAACATGACTTAACAGACACTTCATTCATTAAATCTTATATATAATTTAGTAGTAGTATGTATGTATGTATGTGTGTGCACGTATATAAAGAAAGATGTATATGCACACACTAGCACTAACTTATGTATAAACTAATTAATACACACACATACATCGTGTAACACTAGTATATAATTTTACTAATACTAGCTTATATAGGTTAGTAGTACATGTTTTACTGCGTGCCTTTTTATTGCAAACAATCTAGGAGGTATAATTTGAAGATCACATGCAAGGAGCAAATTAATTTACTTAAGGACAGATTATGCAACCCTTACTCATCATGTTGATGAGTGCTTATTCATGTGATTAGTCCCACTGAAGACAATGGGACTACATACAAAAAGAAATGATTATACAGCACGTGTTCATAAACTTTTTTACTTATAACAAGACATTTCATTTTTTAACATTCACAAAACAAATCTGAAATAGCACCAAGCAAAGCAGGACATGGAGGGAAAGTAGGATTAAGTCTTTTATTTTGTAAATTACACTAAAAAAAAATTAAAACAATTTTTTTGAAGTTGTCAATATTCCCCATTTCTGTCCTGATGAAAAAAAATAGCATGTGATCATGTAGTCAAATGTGTGTGTGTATGTGCACCTATATATATATCTACACACACACAAGGGGTCTGGCATAGTATTTCTATGGGAAACTTTAACTCTGGTATCTCCTAATTTTTGCTTGACTTTGTGACCTTAAGAATGAGTAAAGATCCAGCCTTTCAAAAAAGAATTTGTGTATGGTTTCCCAGGTTTTGTAATAAAAGCTAATTGAAAAAAACAAAACAAACCAAAATGGATTTAATTGTGTGGCATCATACACATTGTTCATCAGTAGGGCTTGATCCTTTAGATGCTCCATATAGACCTCTGCTACTTGGACTAATAGAGTAACTGATAGCAGTATTAGGTTCTCATCCTCTATGTGGAACAGCTTAGGGCAGATCTAGAATTTTCAAAAGAGGGGTGTACATGGTGTATCATCACATATACAACAACACATATTTTTTCCACTAGAAATTTTACTAAAAATACACTAGAAGCTTTACTAATATGCTAGTGGGCTAGGGCTTTGATACTCAGTTTAAGATTGAAGTACAAACAAATAGAACTTCATTGGAATGAACAAAAAACAATTTGCAGGGCTGTAAAACAGGAGTTTCATTACCAGGAGCGGCTAACAGACAGTAGGGCTGTGTGAAATTTCACCCAGCGTTTCATTTCAAAGTTGTTTCAGTGCCTTTTGAGCTTGAAACAGCAAAATCTAAATGAAACAAAAGCCTTTGAAACAAAACGAAGCAAGGGAACTCGACACGTTTAGAAAGTTTCAAAACGTTTTGAGTTTCGAAGCCAGGCTTACTCCTGTCATCCAGTAGGCAGGTCAGGAGCTCGCCCACATCCCCAGGAGGGCTGTGGGGGCTCTGCCAGAGTCCTCCTAGGGGTGCGGGCCCCCAGTCTGCCTCTCAGATAACAGACTGCCGCTGGACGCAGCCCACACCCAGCACCAGGAAGATCGGTGCTGCTGCTGGCCCCAGGTGGCAGCACCCAGCTCCTGTCTCCCAGCAGGCAGATTGGGGGCACGCGCCCCCAGGAGGACTCTGGCACAGCCCCTGCAGGCCTCCCAGGGGTGCTGGCAGGCCCCAATCTGCCTGTGGGCTGACAGGAGCCAGGTGCTCCCGCCTGGGGCCAGTGAGGCCAGGGCAGATCAACTCGTGTGGAAATCCGCCGGCCCGATCCCAGGGCCGGGGAGGGTCCCCACACAAGCTGATCTGCCTGAAGCCCTGAACCTACCTTGAGCCAGCTCCTGTATGAGGCCAGGGCAGATCAGCTCATGTGGGGGGTGCAGGTGAGCCCCCGATCTGCCTGCCTGCTGCATTTTATGTTTCCCCATAATAACCTATGGGCAAAACATTGAAACAGTGTCAAAACAGCAAAATACTTTTGATTAAACAAAATGAATTGTCAAAATGGAAGTAGAATCAGAATGGCACTGTTTCGCACAGGCCTAGATAGCAGAATTGCAGAATGAAGGATAACTTGATTGATGGAACACCATTAAAAGGAAAAGAGGATGGTTAACACCTGTGGAATGAGGCAATTAGAAGGGATCAGGTAGCTTATAATGACTAGAAATACAGGTACTCCTAACTTAATGTCATCCCAGTTAACATCGTTTCATTTTTACGTCACTGATCTATTAGAGAACATACTCGTTCAAAGTCATGCAATGTTTGGTTATAATGTTGTTTGGCTGCTGCCTGCTAGTAGGTAACTAATGTGATGTAATTGGATTTGCTTAAAATTGTTTCACTTAAAGTCACATTTATTAAGAATGTAACTACAACATTAAGCGAGGAGTAGCTGTACCGCTGTCATTCCCAGCAGCTGATTTTAAAGAGGGGTGTAAGTGTACCAGCACACCCCCTCTCACCCTCAGATCCATCCCAGCACTAGGGACCAACAGTAGAGTGAAATGAGACATTCACTTTTCCCTTGGTATTCACAGGTATTTACTTTCACAGGTATTTGCTTTCATCAGAGTAACAGTGAAACTTAGGAATGCTGGTTCATCCAGACTCGAGGAGAATTTTAAAAAAGGTGTGGTCATCTCCATGCCCAGCAAGTCCTAGTCTCCTCTAGATGTCCTATCCTCGCTGTCTCTTTGCACAGCCAGTCCCAGTTCATCCCTTTCTGGCTCTTCATCCTATCTGTTTTCCCCAACCATGCTCTGGTCAATTTACACCTGCTTCTGTTTCTCCTCTCTGTGCTCCCTGTCCAATCACAGAGCCTCTTTTCTGTCCCTGGGATCCCTGTCTAAGTCTTATTGTTCAGCCAGTCCCAGATTTCACTTCATATCTTGGCTCCCTGTTAGACTTGCTTCCTCTTTTCCTCTATTAGACGGATATTCTTGCCCTGCCAGTCTCAGTGTCCCCACTGGCTGTTCATTCAAACTTAATTTTCTCCTCACCCACTGACTTTTAATCTTACCAACATTTCCTGCCCCATCTCTTTATTCTGTGTCTTCACTCAGCCATTTCCATTGCCCACTTTTCTGCTCTTCCCCACCACACTCCTTATGACTCCTAGTTCTTGCCTCCATGTCTTTGGTTCTTAGTTCCTGCCTCCTTCTCCCAATTCCCAGTTCAATTTCCTTCCCGTCACATTAGCCCCCAATTCCATTCTCCCCTCCATCATCCCAATATAATCCATCTCCACACCGTCTTGACCATGTTACATTCAGGTCACATAGGTTCCTCCTCTTCCGTTGCCCAGGCCTGGCATTGTGGGGGTCGCTGAGAAAAGCTTCCTGCTTCCAGTTCTTATGTCTGGCTCTACTCCATCCCTCAGCAACCCAGAACTGCAACTGCAAAGAAAGTCCTGCTTGGGCCATCGCTGAAGCCTACCCAGGGGAAATGGTAACTTCAGGGAATGTCACTGTGAATACCGAAAAAGGCTCTGCTGAATCATATCCCAACTATGATTTTTACAGGTTTATAACTTAGCCAGATTTGTTGGCTTTTAACAGAACTAGTAAAAGAAACACATTTTCCCTTGATGCAACCACGATCTTCCTGACAAATTGCTAGTCATACCAGAAAACTAGAACTAGCTTTGATCCTCTTCAAAAACTGATTTGAATGTGGCCTTCTTCCATGGATCTCTAGAGTATTTAACACCCCTGCAGCAGCAAGACACTGACCACCCTTGACCTCCTGCTGGCAGGTTATGCTACTATGCCTTGTGGTTGTATGATAGGGTTGACTGTGTAGCTTTAGTAACAGCCTAGACAAGGCTCTGTATAGGATGGGTTGGATAGCGTGGTCCTGCCTCACACAGGAGCCTGGACTAGATGACCTCCAGAGTTTCCTTCCAGCCCTACTTTTCTATAATTTTATGATTAAGGTCTTACATTTTGAGAAAATGCCCACAGGTCATCTATTATTCTAACTTAATTTCTTAATAATTATTTACTTGGAAGAAAATTCTCCTCTCAGCCTTACATAAGAGATGGTAACTCAAATATTGTGCTCTCCTGAAAGCACAAAACCCCAGAGTTGAAAATAACAATAAATAAATATAATACTTTGCATTTTCACAATTTTCACCCAAGGATTTCAAAATATGTTAAAACCTTAGGACTGTATACATTAAAACTTTACAGTAAATTATAATGCAGAAGGAAGTCAAGATCTGTTATAGAGATAAGAGAACAAAATTCTTTCCTTGCAGGCTATAAAGAGAGTATATAACAAATGGCAAAAAAAATAGCATTTATTCAAAAAAATGAGGTAAGTCATATGGAATTCTTTAGATGTGCTATGTTAGTCATTTCTGAATATGGGCTTTTATAGTTAATAAAGAACTAAATTAAATAAATACTAATATACTGTAAATCTATTTCATGCCAAATTCCTATCTTGTGCAAGTCCACTAATTTTAATGAGGTTATAGTATGGCTGAATTTAACACATGATATTTAATTTTAATAATAATTTTAATAATTTAATTTTAATAATAAAAACACGGAATGCAACACAATAAAAGCCAATATTTTTTCAGAGAAAGGTGTACACATTGCAGTGTGTTTCTAGAGGGACAAAAAGTCAAATGTTATTGGCTCAGCCCCTCAGAACTGATGCTAAATGCAGTTTGCTTTTTGACTCAGTACCAGAAT